GGCTGAAACTTGTCGGGAAAGTAAAGTTTTACAAAGGTCAGGCTATAAGTTTTCATGGTTTTAATGTTTATAAAGGAAAATGTGTGCTAGAATATTTAAATATATCTAGTTCCTGATTTTATGATTAATTTTACATAATTTTAAAGACAACCCTTGGTTACCTGCCTTATCTTTATACAATTTTGAATTTTTAATACCCAGCGACCCATTTCAGAAAAGTATCCACTTAAGCTGTCAGAGAAAGTTTTCATAAATAGTTCCTCACTCAATTTTTTGGCAAGTTTGCCAAGTAAACATTTTAATTTTTCGTACAAGTGCCACGCCCACTAATTGGGTTAAGAGGGCCAAAAGGGAAAAGTTGAAATAAATTATATCCTTTTGGCATATCCTTTCTGGCTTGTTTGCGGAATGTCAACTTTCCGTGCTGGCATATCTTTCCTGATCTTGAAATGAGGCATTCGGCCGCAAAAGAAAAGAGGTTGCCAAAAGCTGTTAAGGGTCCTAAATTTGCGGGGCCATCAAAAATGAATTTCGCTAACTTATCAGTTAGCCAAATTTTCGGGGCTGTGCTGTCAAAATGTTGATTGCCACATACCAAGTCAGTTTATGGTCATTATCCTTGTGTTATCCCAAGTGTGAAAAGAGGGGGGCCTGCTCTGCTCCTTTTTGGAGGACCTTTTCCTCTTTTTTTGTTGTGTGTTCCTTTGGTTATATTTTGTTGTTTTTGGTCACGTCATCGATTAGCAATGTGTTGCCATGGCATCTTCCACTTTACAGCAGCACAACACACAAAACACACAGGGCACGGGGCGGAAAAACCACACAAACTAACACGACTAAACACCCCCCTGGAAATCCGTAAAAGTCCTGACCGCAAGAGTTGTAAACAAGCAAAATCCGTTCGTTATTTGATTTTTTTGTTAAGGGTTTTGTTTTTTTCCTGGCCAGGATAATGCGACGATATATCCTGCGTTTTTCGTTTGAAATCACACAGTTTTTCTCTGTTTTTCTTTCGGTTCACAACGTTGCACTTGTGTCGATGGTAATGATGGATTTTTTTTTCAAATGTGGGGGAAGTTGGGAACTTTTCCTTGGGATACTGCGACTGAAACACGACCGTCTGCTCGCACGGCTCGCCGTCAACTGGTTCGCCTCGAGCTTCCTTCGAGCCATCGTTCCCGAAAAGCCGAGTCCGCCGCCACGAGCCGGGAAATTCCGTCGTGAATTATGCATTTTCCACCTACGGTCACAGAATTTCCCTGGCTCTCTTGCGTCAGCTTTTCCGCTCTCTTCAATGTTTTGGGCAATTTGGTGGCGTTCAGTTTTCCGATTTTTCCTTTTTGGCCAGGTGGTGGGTTCGCATTTTGCCGGTTTGTTTACGTTTTTGTGTGTTGGCCCGCTTTCTTTTAAGCCGGCTTTCTTCGCTGGCCAACATATGACTGCCTTTTTTTGGGGTGGCTTCTCTACGAAATGGTTTTAATTGATTGATGAGCTTTATTATGGGTAGAGGGTGCGGCTTTTTCGGTTTGGGTAAGTAAAGATTTTCTAGACACGCTAACAAGGGTTGGTAATGATTTTATTCCCTAGGGGGACACACTAAGTAAACAGGTTACCTTGGGATGTAGTTTAAGGGTTAAGGAATATGGCCATATACATTTTCTAAAAATATATAAAGGTAGGATTTTTAATTCCTTAAAAATTAATGTTTATATTTAATTTTTGTATTTATTTTATAAAAATTTAGATGATATTTACTTGGTTATTACTTACTATTTTAATTTTTTTTACCTTTTGTGTGTAAGTTTCCAACATCAAAAACCTTTTCAATAAACTTTAACCAAGGCCAGCCAATAATGATGACAAATATGGTAAGGGCTGCCCCTTTTTGGCTTCAACTCCCCGTTAGTACTTTTCCACGACCCTTTACCTTTGCCCGACCCTGCTGACCACAGAAACTGTTCACCGCCTGAATGTGCCGGGCAAACCGCTTTTGGTCGCAACTTCGTCTGGTTTCGGATTATTTACAAGAATTTTTCGTTACGTCTCGTTTCAGGCCTGGCCAAAAACCACAAGCACCAAAGAGACAGAAGGCCACGGGGCGAGGACGGTGGCACAATAGACAAAGTGTATCAATTATAATACGGGCACAAGGCGAAGGATCCCCAGCCAGGGGCAAAAAGAAGGGGAGGCACAGAAGCCAGGACCCAGGAACCAGAAAACCGGAACCAAAAGTAGGAGCTGACACATAGAGAAAAAGTCCCAGTAAAGGTAAGTTCGGGTGCTTTTTTTAATTTGGTTTTTATTTTTAAAAAAATAACATCCTTTTTTAATGCCATCTTTATATACATTTTCTGGACAATATATAATCATTCATATTTAAATTAAACTTTTTAGTTGTAATTTTTTTTTTCATAACAAGAAGAGTTCGCCCCGTTACTATGGAATTTTAAAAGAAAATTCTTTTATTTATAAATATACGTTTAATAATTTAAAACAATTTTCTGAAGAAGAAAACATTTTATTAGACTTATAAAAAAAGTCATTGTCTTAAAAACACTACAACTCAGTATTTTTAAGTGTTAAGAAGATTAGATCAGTAAGTAGGTAGACAAATTCAGATTACATTTTAGAAAACATTTCTTGGGTGACTTATGTAATAAAACTAAAATGTAAATTGTTTTATTATGGTTTTGTTTTCACTGTACAGGCAACCACACTCACACACAGGCCATGTTGGCTACGACAAGTACAACCACAATTACCTCGGATCCGGGCATCCTCTGTTTTCATCACTGCAACGTGAAAGTTTTCTGCTTCACTTTGCCGCACACTTGTCCCCATTGCAATGCCCCACTGGACGCGGATGTGGATGCGGATGGGGATGCGGATTCGAGTGCGGATGCGGATCCAAATGCGGAACTAGACAGGGGCGGGCCACGCCTCCTGCTCCTGCCCTTTCGCCTGCCATATCCCTTTGTGCGGGCCACACAGTATCCATGCGCCATTGTCCTGCGTCCCTCCACCGGCGATTTCCTCAAGTGAGTACCGTCCGAAATGGACCGACCATTCCAAAAGCATATTTGCTGCAGCTGGCGGCATTCAAATCCACGAACAAATCAAATAAATGTTTTTATTAGTTTTGAACTGCGTTTCAAACAGGAGATATGGAATTCTTTAAAGAAGTATTCTTATATGCTATATTACATATCAACTAGAGCTTTTAATTTAAATGAAAATACGTATAGCATGTTAAGCGTTTTGATTTGATCTTAATTTACTTTTAAATATTTTTCAAGCAATTAAAAAATTTTAATGGCCTGTCTTAAATATTTTTCATTCTTTTTATTAAAATCCTATAACAATTGAAGCTTTAGAACTGGAAAGGCATACATTTTTAGTTTAATTTAAAAAATTCAAATTTCATAAACCGAAGCCAAGCAATTGAGGCAGACTATTCCAAGCGGCTTTCCTCCATTTATTCCGCAGCGCAGAATCATCTCTAATATTCAGTCCAAACAAATTTGTGCAAATTTTCCCGGACGTATTTATTTTTTTTGGGGGGTGCTTCGCTAGGCGGAGTATCTTTTATGGCTGGAATATATTTTTGATGCGTTGTGTTTCCGCAGCGATTACAGCAACGCCACCGATTTGCATATCGCAGTGACCACATCCGGCGGCGACATCGTGGAGTTCGATCGCTTTGGCCTGCGCCGCCATCGGCGGGACGATAATCCGCCGGAGTGGCGGCAGTCGCTGATGGTGGGCGATGTGCCTGAGCCGTGGCACGACTTTTGGGACGAAGTTTTGGAGCAGGTGAGTGCAGAATCCGGAATCCTCAAAATCATAGGGTGGCTCGATATGTTGCAGGACAAGAAAACAGGAATCCATTGGCATCTATTCCATGAAATTATCTTTAATAACAGGTTCTTAAAACACTCCAGAAAAAGAATAAATTGGTTGCCATAGAAATTAGTAGAATTTGAAAACGGTGTCTAAAAGTATGCAATAATATATTGTGAGTTCAATGTACAATAATATGTTGCTTCATACTTTTAGACAGCTTTACATGCTAACCATTTTATATGTAAAATTGTCCTTAATAAGAGGTTCTTAAAACACCCCAGATAAAGTGTAAATTGGTTGCCCCAAAAATTACTAGAATTTTAAAAAGATGTCAAAAGTATGCAATAATATATTTTGAGTTCAATGTAGAATATTATTTAACTGCATACTTCTAGACACCTTTCCATGCTAACAATTTTACATGTAAAATTGTCTTTAATAAAAGATTATCATAACACCTCAGAACAAATAATAAATTGGAATATAATGGGATGTCATATAAAGGTGTCTAAAAGTATGCAGTAATATATTTCGAAATCGATCCACCCTCCCCAACATCAATGCAAATCCCTAAGCTTCCATTTGCATTAATAGATCTGCGCCCAATCGGTGCGGTGGTCCATCGCCAGTTATGCGGAGGAGAGCCACAACTGCTACGCCTTCGTCCTGGCCTTCCTGCAGGTCCTGGGCCACGCCCACCTCAGCGAGGCCGCCCGCAGTAAGACCGCCTTCTGCGAACAGTGCATAGTTCCAAGGACGACGACGGCGGGCAAGTACATATCGCTTTATCGCAAAATCCGCCGGAGTGGAATCTACGTCCATCGACAGCAGCCCAAAAATCGCAGTAAGCCAACAGCATCCTCCACTCCCTCAAGTTCCTATTCCTCGGGAGGATGCGATGGTGTTGGCAGCAGCAGCAAACAGGTCTCAAAGAAAGGATACTCAAGCAGCAGTATTTCCGGCATTGCAAACCGCCCAAGGCCCACTCTGTGCACCATTGAAGAGTAATTAAATCGTAAATCCTAACTATCATTATGTAAAATCTAAAGCCTTTTTAGTAAAATTTAAAAGAGTTGATCTTAAATAAAACTTACAATTTTTGTTTTATAAATATTTTGTTTAACTCTTTATTTTGGTTTCAAAATGGTTGTACATGGTTAAATGTTTTACAGGGTTTTAAATGTACAGCTTTGTTAATATATTCGATTTATGAAGAGCTTTACTTTTTCTGTTTGTCACATAAAATAATACTTAAAAAACTTTTCTTTGGCGATTTAGATTTGGTTTTAAAAATTCGTATGTATCATTTGGAATGTATGATTATAAAATATGGTTTTGTAGAGCTGTTATGTGTAATACCTATAGGTATTACTTGGCTTGTTCCGTTTCTTTTTGTGGAATGCTGATAACAATTTATATAAATTTGCAGATGGGAGTGTAAAAATTCTTTGCGTCAGATTATAAATAGAACATTTTTATCGCCTCGGGGGAGCTACGTTTTCCCTGTATAAGTTGTTGTAATTGCCAGGGGGATTATAATTGCACACAACGTAGATAGTATTGCCCCTGTAAAGAAAATATGTAAATATTTATTAAGTAAATAAATTATAAAATAAATTCTTTATAGTACAAAGATCTTACCTTCTGGCAAAACCCACGCCCAACTCAGTAGAACTCTTCCAAACCACCTGAGTAAAATGCCCCGTATTTCCTTGAAAGGAGGGATTATTCCAGTTGTAATGGCGGACCTCTTCGTACCAGGATCGGACAGCATCTGATCCTTCTAGGTTTCCCCCCGAGGCCATATAGATGTTTTCCCCGTATCCACTGTTCGGGCGATGCTCCATGCGATTTCTCGACAGTAAATACTAAATGAAAGCAATAACTTCCTTAGTATAAATAGTTTCTAGATTTTAAAACCTCTTACCGTGGCCCATTCGGTGGCCAACTGATTAAGTTTGGGGCTCAATTTCAAGGCTGGAGCACCATGCTTAGCCCGATATAAATTATGGGCATTGAGAACTTCTTGCTCAAACTGAAATTTAACAAAACACATTTTATTAACACTTTTAAAAACATTATATCAATTATAAATAATTATTTACAATTACATGATTTTGTTCATTGAGACTAAACTTTTTAGTAAAGGTTTATAGGTTTTTTTAACATTAATATTTTTGAAATACTATGCATATATATATTCTTAGGCACAATCACATCAATATAGAAAAAATACACAGTTTTCCGTATTTGAAAAGTTTTGATTATATTTTTCGAAAACAAATAGATTATTTAATAAAACTTTCGATTATACCATCTCCTTACTTGTTGAACACTCTTTTCTCCGGTTTTATATTCACTCTTTCGCACTTGTATTGAATACATTTTTAATTATGCCTTATGTTTTTGTTTAATTTAATTTAAATATATAAGCAGTAACGCTGGCAATTGTCGGTGGCAACTGAAGTTGAATGGAGCTCAGCGAGGGCTTTTATGCGACCTGCCCAGATTTTCTTATCAGTTCATTTTCCGCCACAACAACTGTTCGAAGTTTCCAATTGTGGGGTTCCGGCAAGGGCTGACTAATCTTGAGGAATGAGGTGCCAGTTATAGTGGTCTGGTATAATTTTATAGGCCTACAATTATGATACGAATTATTGTAAACACCGGAGGAATGCTTAAGACAACAGTCATGTTTCCTTAGAAAATTACGATAAGCAATTCTAAAAATGATAAGAAAGATATGTTTACTATTTTGCTAATGATTTTTCATTACTGATTATTATTTTCTAATAAACAATTATGTTATTGTCGTTAAAATATTACTCACTTTTATGGATTGCCCCTAAAAAGTAGAAAAACTCCGCTGTTAGTAGTATCAGTTACATAATTCCATACCAGAATACCATTAACGCTGAGTTTTATGAACTCTGCCCGCCTTTCCATTATGGTTACCCCTTATAATGTGCTATTTTAAATAGATTTTAAATGAAGTTTTCTTACCGGCTTATCGCAAACTCATTCAGGATCCCGGAGATTTCTGCCTCATCCAGATTCCATATCCCTGGCTCGGCTTTTGTGGCTGCCACTCGCGCCTGCCTCATTAATGAACGCAATATCCCAGACAGGAGGAAGTGACAGGAAACGGAAACGAGGACGAGGGCATGGAGGGGACCCTTGGTTATGCAAAACTGTCATGAATCGGGAAAATGTAATTACGTTCTCGTTGATGACGTTGATGAGCAGCCACGGCGTTTGCCTCTGCCTCAGCTTCAGAGTCGACATTTCATCTTGGATAGAGCGCAATACGTGCATATAAATTGTATAATGTCGCCTCGGCCAACTTTGGCGACACGTAATTTCGAAGCAAATAAGTTTTGCCCATCCCCATAACCATCTCCATCCAAAGTTTTGCTACAGGTATAACTGCCACCTGCCGCCCACTTTCTAATGCCGTTGTTTACTCGCCGGGGAGCTGGATCGGGTGTCGTTATTGAATTCAACAGTTGAGGCGGCTCCTGGAGGAAATGACACGGGCTGACTTGACACCGCCATTGAGTAAACTTTTCCAAATGATAATAAACGGGTTAAAGCCTTGGAACTAATGCACAGAAAGGAAGGTGGCATTATATATACATAGGTAATTTTATTCATAGGTATTCTATAGAATTCATAAGCATTTGGGACTCAAAAAAGGGATATGCCAGTACATTAACATTAGAAAATCTTTAAGACACCGAAAAAATGCGATATACCTTTTCTAAAAGCTTTTATGATACAATACACAATTAAATAAAATTGTTTACCACTGAAAAATATTAAAAATAAATAAAATTTTTAATAGGAAACTAATATATAAATGAAAATAATACTTTTCGAAAATAAGACAATATTTTTTAAGATCTGTTATCTTTTATAATAATATTAACAAAAAATATTTAAATTACAAAAATAAATGGTATATTAAATGGAATTTTTTTTAAGGTTTGCTAAGTTTTAATGTATGAATTAAACATGTAATTAATTTATAGATTTTGACATTTTTTCAATGTGCATTTATTACATTACAGACTGCTCTTTGCCAATTCATTAGTTCGAGTGGTATCAGACAACGGAAACGTTAATGCAAACATTTTACTTGATGCAATCCGACACGTTCTTGGACTGTTTTGTTGACAGACCCCGAGAGATAATGGCTCCAATTGAAAGCCATATCCAAACTGAGTCACAATGGCCCATAAAACTAGAGCACATTTGCGAAATGTACTACATTACTCTCAAAGCAGTGTGTCCAAGATCGCAGTGGGTGTGACTGGGTGGTAACTCAGCTTGTACTTTTTTGCGCCACAATTCCCATGAGTCAAAAATCATTTCAAAATCAGCGACAGGAACCTAACTGTCAAGGTATAATACCAATGGTCGCCGTAATGGGTGTGACTGTTTTTACCTAATGGAATAAACCAAACATACACATGAGTCAAGCCCCTGCAGAATCGATTTTATAAACTGGCGCCATGCTAGGGCTCAGTTTCGTCTGGGTTATGGTTGTTATCTAATTAAAATGTATAAATAGACGTTCAGCTCAGCATAAGTGCGAACGTGGAAAAATCAAATCGGAAGCGAAAGACCTTGAGGGGCATTTAAAACTATTTTCTATGCTTTCTCCCCACATTCCCTGTGCATTTCGCTTGGCATTTTCCAATTTGGCGAACTTTGTACCCGAGTTTTTGACCAAGTGCCGAGCTGCAAACTGGCCAACTGGCAAACAGTTTAGACCCGGCGTCATGGCGATGATGTAGATGCCTTTCTATGGCTGCACCGAACCAATCTACTTCTTATTTTCCGAACCGAACCCTTGCCGTTTTTCTCTTGCTCCATTTGACACGTTTTCAACGCCGTGGAAATGGGGGAAAATGCGGGAAAATGGGGTAAAAGCATTGAAAATCTCAACTAATGTCAAATGCTTTGTTGTCGAAAATCCAGCTGGATGAAAAAAGGAACAAAGCTGCAAGGTTCCTCCGTTGACACATTTAATTTAGTAGTGGGATATTTATCAATCGGATGTATTAATAACAACCAATGCATCATTGGGCCAAGATAAATGCATTTTCTTTGGGATCCATGGATCCCAAGCGGATGCAGATGGCCTCGAATTTCGGGGAACCCCCCTTTGGAGCATCGATAAGAGGATTATAAAATATGCAAACACCAGTCGCGATAAGCTTCAGTACAAAGCCCCTTCAAGTTTCCACTCAATGTCGAGGGTGCCGTGCAAATATTTACAAACTGTCGACGATTTGCTTTGATTTCGATAAGACCAACAAAGCGTAACGTAAACGAAGTGAGATAACAACTGATTTCATTCACAAATACAAATAGTCGAGGGGAAAGTGGTGGCGGTAATTAAACAAATCGTTAGTCACAAAAGGCGAATGATTAATCTTTGATAATAAAATTATTCTATTTGCTGATAAACAGACATTACACTGTGATTATGATGATAATACCTTGACTGACCTTAACATTCAAATGTTTTATCATATCTTGTCATTTTGTTTTATCAGTTTTGCATAACATTTATTTAGTTTGTCAAGAGCATGTCACTATTGATTGTCATTGCTGTCATATTTTGAAAGAGCTTTTACATATTTTTACGGACCATTTTGATGTATTAATTCAACTTAGATAGACAATTTACGGGGTATTTTATATTAGATCTTTCATAAGGTTTTATATAAATTTTAGAAATTTTTATGTAAAACTAGAATTTTATATTTGTATCCACAAGTCAAATACATTCAATTTTAATGTTTTGCATTTTTAACATTTTGGATTAAACTAAATAAAATGAATTACCAATTAATTTAATAGGCTAAAAAAGATTTTTTATAAAAGCTCATAGCTCTATTAAAATGCCTTAAGAGGATGAAAATTGGAGTGAAAACTCAGTCACACTTGAGTTTCCCGAGCAGTTTACTTTGCACTCCCTATCTCTTTCTATTTAAATCGTGCTTTCTCTCTTTCTCCCTTTATTATTCAACGGCGCGTCCAAAGGAGGCGCATAAAAAATGTATTCACACAAATTTCTTGTGTCAACTTGAAGTTTTTAGCGAATTAGCAATTTGTGCAGCGGTCGCAGTGGAAATTTTATACCAAATTGCAAATTCGTGTTGACTTTGTTTCAGTAAATTTTCCACCTCGTTTTTTATCTGCTGAAGTAGGGCTTTTCGTTTCGTTTCATTCTTCGTCCTCGTTTTTTTGCCCAATTCTTTTTTTTCTTGGTGTTGACTTAATGGAAATGTAAATAAAAAGTGAAGTTGAGGCGACTAAAGCCCCGTCTGCATTTGACTGATAAGTTTTATACGTATTTTAAATCTTTATATATAGTTGTGGGTAGAGAGAGATTCATGCTCGAATGCTGGATTAATTGTCAGCTCATCCGTCTTCATTTGTCGGTTGTGTGAAAATCTGTAGGATTGCCATGCATATTAAGTGGAAAATTTATAAAAACACATAACTGCAAGTGATGTGCGTCATTTAATTGCCACACGACTGCTGGCAATGACAGCTGTTTGTGTTTTGATGACTTAACTGCTGAATATCACGCATACGCAGTGTTGCGTTTCACAAGCTAACGCATGAACTTTTGTACCAAGTACACCACACCATATTTTAATTCCACACCTTTCTTATCCCGAAATTTCATTAAATATTCTTGAAGAGTATGTTCCTTACATGCCTGAAAGGCTTTGAATAAGAACCAACCAATATTGCATTCTCATTCCCCTGCTTATGCGGATATCATGTGTACATTGCCTGTATCATGAGCCACAAATTGCAGCTGCTGCTCTTTAATGCCACAACTTTCGATGCCGCAACAGCTATCCTTGCATGTCCAAGTCCTGGGGAAAATGTCTGGATGGAGTGCTGTTCAAGCATGTTGCAATAAAACTAAATCGAATTCAAACACAAAGTTCATTTACAGTTCATCAACTCGGGCTACCCAAACAAAATGTGGCTCTCGGAAACTTCTAAACTTGGCTTTTATGCTAAATTAAGTGTGCTTGGGCCCTTAGAACTTGGATGATTGGAAGATTGAAAGCCTTAGTGTTAAATTGATTCCTCAGTTTAGCTTCAGGTGGTCAAATAACATACTTTGCCCCCAAGCAGAAACCAATTATGTGGGCTTATTTAAAGAATTTCCTATTAGCTGATAATGGCTCTCATTGATAAACATTTATTGTGGGTTAACCTGCACTTTATAAGTGTATACTTTCGACCGAAACTGAAAGCTTCTGTGGTTTAGCATTTTCGGAGCCAATTTTCCGGTTATCTGGGTGACACAGAAAAATCAACCCGAAATACCGCGGGGAAATTGCCATTGATTTCGATTAATTTTCAATGGCTTTTTTGGCCGCCGAAATATTGCTAATTGCGTGTGTAAAGCGT